AAGACGCGAGTGCAGGTATTTATTAAGCTCTAATAATTCTAGGCGGTAGGGGACATACTATATGTCTATATTTATAAAAGAAAACGGTCCATTCATATGGAGAAATTGTCAATTAGATGTACAAGAGATAAACTTATAAGAGCATCCACTATGTGAGCTCAATTGGGATCAAAACTACAAGTTGGTGGGAGTTGATCCCCAATGTTGATCGGTCAACCTCCTATATCAAAAATGAGTTCTGCGAATTTTATTTTCAATATAGCCAAGTGGCTTTTTTGCCAAAGGGGTGCACCAGTGGAGCAAGGGGAGGAATACTTCTCCCACATTTCTAGCCACAAATCCCACCAACTTTTTAATTTAATATTTTATGAATTAAATTAATTTATTTTACAAAAAAAATTATACCAAAAAATCAGATTTTTTTCCTTCCATAAATAGATACCAATGAAGGATATGTTTAGTCACTTCGAAATTTAGCACTTTTTTCCCTCTTGCATATGATTTTATCTATTTTAGCTTATTTTTTCTCCCTAAAAATGGATCCAAACCGTTCTCCCCCTAGATACTACACCAACAGCCCCCCATTCCAAAGAATTCCTTATTCTTCACAACAATCAGACCCCCCATTGGTCTGGTCTGGTTTGATCTGGTCTGATCTGGTAAACGTCTAGTCTCTGTGTAATTTATAATTATGGAAGTCTGGTCTGGTCTGGGACTGAAAAACAGTCCAAAATAAAATATCCTAAATAAATTAATAAAGGTGGGATATATAAAAAATAAGTAAAGAGAGTGTAAAAATTAAAATGTGACCTAGGTCACCATAGTGGGGAGAAATTGTGATAGGTTAAAAGGGATTAAGTTTTTGGAGAAAAGTGATGTGGAAGAGAGAGGTGGGGTCAAACCCCACCACCATTGTGGATGCTCTAAGGAGTCTAAGCTTAAAAAGAAATCTTAGAGCTGTAATAGAGGTCCCTTCATCTTCTCGCGCTGAGCTTTCCGTCGTTCTTCAGGAATTTCTTTGTGTACGGGAAACTAAGCGCAAAGCTATAGGCTGTGGAAGACTAGAAACTGTGGCTCTAAACCCTGTAAGGCCATCTCCAACAGACCACCAAATCACACACCAAAATGGTGTATTTGTCAAAAACTTGCTCCAACAATGACACCATTCTCCACACCATTACACCATTTTGGGGGAGAGGAGATGGCTTTACGCCATATATGGCGTACGCCATATCTAACATTATCCACCTTTTTTAATTTCTTTTCCTTTTAAATGTGACCTTCAAGTTTTAATTATTATAGTTTTGACCCATTTTTAAAACAACAAATTAAGATGTTTTACTTGGACTGAAATTGGTTTGTCCGCTCTGGTCTGATCTGAAATGATGTGGTCTGGTCTGATTTCTTTGTATTTTTATAACTACCCAAGTGTGGTCTAATCAGGTCTGATCTGATCCCGAGACAAATTACAGTCCAAGTAAAAACATCCTTATAGAACAACAAATTAAAATTATTAATTTGATAGAAAAAAATATAATAAAATTTAAATCACACAATATTATAAATAAAGTTTCAAATCCAAACAACATTATAACAGAATACAAATGGTACTTAAGGAAATAGCATAATTAAAATTACAATTAATAACACCATTATAATTAAAATTAAAACATAATTAAAAACATACATGGTACATACTAATTTAGAAATGTCAAAATATTAAATGAGAGGCTAATGTATAAATATATGATAGTTAGATACTTAAATAGAAGAATGGTAAAAAGTTAGTAAAAAGAATAAAAAGAGAATATTCCTTTTTGGTGATGAAAATGGTGTAAACTGTTGGAGATAAAATATTGTTTGATGTGATGTTTACACCATTTTAGTGTAAAAAATGGTGTTAACTGTTGGAGATGGCCTAAGTTTTATTAGTGTACCTCAGATGAAATCGAAGGCTAAGCAATCCTGATTACTGTTGTTTCCTCTTCCTATGTCTGCATACTTCAATAAATAGGTCATAATCAATTGGAGTTGTTCTGTGCTTGGGATAGCATATATTGACTTATTGAGTGTTCGTACTTGGGAGAGACGTGATAATAGGGAAGGAACCAAGTAACCGAGTAATGAAAGAGTGGCTGAAAATGAACCAAAAGGTTATACACGTGTTTGATGACTTAGAAAACTCACTATAAAGTCAATAAACCAAAAAATACTGTTTGCTTCCTTATTTTTACTTTTTGGGACCAGTTTCTCAAACCGATCAAATCAGTTAGGCTTAAAGTATTCAGAAGCCTGCGGGGAATTATGCAAACAAATGGATGTTAAGGTAATAGATTTATGGAGAGCACTTCAGCAACGGGATGATTGGCTCAATGCTTACTTTTTGTGAGTAATTCTTCTCTAAGCTAAAAATACTGCTCAATACCATAAACAACCTCATGATTTCATCTACAATATTTATGCAAGATCAAGTCATATTTTGAAGGAAAGATTGATAGTAACAATCCCAACTATTGACGGTCCGCTCATAATAATCCCAACACTCAATTATTTCAGAATAATCCCAACTTTAGGGACCTTCCGCCAATAATGATCACTATAAATAAATTCTTGTAGTTTCTAAAGTGGATGAGAAGAGATATAACAAGTAATCCAATAAATAATCCCAACTTTTAATTTTTACGCTTAGTTTCTATTTGAAATTCACTTGTTGTAGGAGGTAATATTTGGTCATGGACCATTATTGGCGGACGGTCCATATAGTTGGGATTATACAAAAATAATCAATAGTCGGGATTATTGTCAGCGAACCGACAATAGTTGAAATTATTATTTTCAATTTTTCCTATTTTGAATTTCTAAGCATACCCTTCCTTTGTATCAAAACAATTAAAAAATACATAAGAAACAAGGATGGATATGACATTTATGACATTTATTCTTGATAATTTCTTTTGGTGAAATAGAAAGTTTATTTTGAAACATCCAAATAAGAAAATGAAGAATTACTTTAGGGACGAAATGTAGTATTTTTGGGGGATTACTATCAAAATTGTTGTGTGTTTCCCTTATATGAAAAAAAACTCTCTATGTAAGGTCATGTTTGGTGGTTATTGAAATGACCCAACCAGCTAAATATGTAATTTTTGTATTTAAGGGCATAAGGCCATATATACAGAAAAGGGCCTTTGGAAGAAAAAACTGTCACAAAAGTAGCATTGAGTTAGTTTTTTTATTGAACCATTCACTTAAATGTGGTGGCTTTTGGTGTTTTAAAAAAATAATTTCAGTGTGATTATCCAATTGAACAATGCCAAATGAACTCTTACAAGACTTTTACTTGCTTAGATCATCTCCAATGCTACAATGTGCACAGTGCACATGTGGCATGAGAGATATCCACATCAATATTATCAAACACTAGTAGGAAAATGAGCTCTAACGATACTATAATTGACCTATAGAGGCGCTAAAAAGCGTCGGAAGTGTTTTTACCGACACTTGTAAAAGTGCTGGCTTTGCTTGTGTCGCTAGACCTTCTTACGACACTTATTCTTAGCATTGGTATAGCATTGTAAAAGCGTTGCTAAATGTGACGCACTTTTCAACATCCTATTGAGGTACATATATAGCGCCGCAAGAGATATAACTGCACTTTAATATATGCACCTTCAAATTAAATATATTACCATGATCGTAAATTGTATTTTGCCCCTGCTACGAATTTTTGCAATTAATCATATAACATTTATAATAATACTAAGAAACATCTTAATTGCAAATGAGGGTATATATTGCATCATTCAAACTCTTCAAACTGAAAACAACAAATAAGCGTTCCTTCATTGTTTTAACTCCACGACTAAACTTATACCAAAAAATATATATTATAGTATCATATCAAAATATCCAAATCAACTTTGAATCCTCCAACTTAGTACGACAATGTAGTTCCTCCAATTATCACTTAAGCAAAAATCTGTAAAAACCAAACAAAAAGCACAATTAGCAATATACAAAAAGATAGTATAAATTTAAAAACAGTAGCAACAACAAATAAAAAAACAGTAGCCAAGAATTTCCAGATTAAACTAGTGAAAGAAAGTATTGGAGGTGGACCATGTTTATAAGCTGATTACTAAACTAGTATCAAATAGGTATAATGCTTCTTGAATAGAATGAAATGGTTAGACAAAGTTGTTCTTCATGGAGAGACCCTAGATCACTTAAGTTGTCTCAAATGCTAGTATAAACAATAAAAGAAATTATGCACCATACATGAAAGAAACAGATAGGTAGTATTAAAGATTACTTCATGCACATGTAAAGAAACAGAGAGGTAGTATTAAAGATTACTTCATGCACATGTAAATTAGACTCCATACATGCATATCAAAACACAACACATTTTAACAATCAAGAATCAACATAGCTATATATAGGTAGTTTTAAAGATTACTTCCTGCACATGTAAATTAGACTCCATACATACATATCAAAACACATATAAAACCCAATATATTTTAACAATCAAGAATCAACATAGCTATATATGTAGCTACAATGCTTACAGTTAATTGCAGAATTTTAGCTCTCCTCTGTGGGAAGAAAACACTGGCAGCATATGGTTGGTGATTAAATTACAACTTATTATATAAAACTCTTTACTTTAGAAAATTATTCATCATTTAAATGAAAGTACAAATAAAGAACAAACCTCATCAACACCATGTAGCTCTTTAAGCTTGATCCATTCACTACTGATAAGATAAAATAAGATAAAATAAGCTTGATCAGAGATTATTACATTATTTAATTGCAATAAATATTATCAAAGTAAGCAAATTTATAAGATGAAAAAGATACACTCAGTACCTCATTAATATTTTTCATAACGGACTTGGAGCTTCCTTTTCAACTTCAAAAGACTTATTCTTTTCTTTTTTATATGCTTCCTCATTTTTTGCATTGTCCTGTTCAGCTTTATGATAGTTATTCCTTGCTTTTTGACACGCTTCTTCAATCTTTGCATGGACTGTTTTAGTTGGCGAATATAATACAAAGCCGTTGTTTCATCACTTGAGGACATATTTAAGCCATTACAATATGGTGGGCGTGAGGGGTTTGCAAAATCTGATGGCTTCACACCAAGTCCTAAACCACGAACACGACCATATTGATCTTTACCTAAAACCTTGGAAACCGGATCATCATCTAAGCTCACTTCCTGGTCACCTATCTCAGCAACGATATTCTTAATTTGACTCTACAAAGAATACCAATTAAAGAACTTAGTAGTCAAACTATAAACAAAGGTAATCAAACTATAATCAAATTAACTGATGATAATTTTAATATTCTGCCTTGTTTTGTTTGAGGGGAATTTTCTAACAAAGGTAATTCCGAACATAAGTTTAACTGAAAACCCCATGAAACAGATCTTGAGGAACACTAAAAACAAAAGCTGCAAGCAACTGTAACAGTTTGAGTTAATTCAAAAGTAATTTTAAAATTTCATGAGAAATGATATTTAATTATATACATACCGTTATTTCTGCCTCATCATCATGTTGATGACATTCTAAATAAACCTGAGTTCGTGTTGGGCTCTTGTTTAACCGTTGTTTCTACATAAAAAATTAAATACCTCATTAGAATATATTAACTAAAAAAATACACTGACTCATGAAGCCCTCTCTGGATGATGTTTAATACCATCTCCTCACGAACACGAGCATGACTTTTAGTACCAGTGGTAGAAATTGGCTTCGCCTTAGCTTTCTTAAGCGAATCTTTACTAGTTTTGCTTCTCTTCTGCAAAAGCACATCATAAAAGTGATTGCTAAGTCCAAAAAAAGCATTTACACATATATATGTTTGCAGACCTAGGAAACTATTAGATCCTCTACTAAATTAAAATAACATATTTTTAAAATTGAATACCAAGTGAAAAACTGCAGAATCAATTAAATGCAATAAAATAATTAGAAATCTATATTTGTTTGCTAATACTAATAACTATACCTGTCCTTCATCTGACTTCCAAAAGTTGACGAGACTAATCCATTGATTCTTTTCCACATCTTCAGGACAGTTATCATGCAATATGGTTATATGTTTATCATCATCATACCACTTTCCTTTCAATAAGCATTTGTAGTCCCTCCATTTGTGTCCAATTGATGCCAGTATCCATTTCTCAAGTGATTTCGGATAAAGAAACCGATCCTAACACACACATGAATAACAACACCAAAAACCAACATATGTAGTTAAAAATACAAAACATAGTGTATTTTAATATGAATGAAAACATTAAGACCATAAAAGTTACCTGAATTACTTTTAATATCATGGTTTGGTTGTTTCGATTGTTGCCTTTCTTCAAGTGATCCCATCTTGTATAACTTAAGGAGCACAATTTTCCAATCCTTGCAATTGTCCCACAAAAAGTGCCTAATACGCCTCCTTCATCTCCAATGGGTTGGTTCTCTTTATTGACATCAACGACAATACGATTCCCTTCAGATAGATTCCACACTCCTGCTAGAACTGTCTTTCCACGCCTTCGATTACCATGGGAGTCTGATTTCATTTTTCAGCATATACAACATAAATATTGCTTATTGTACAGAATAGTCCAACTAACTCAAAGAGGAGAGAAAGGAGGCTGCTTCATATTTTCTACTACAAAATCATCAATACTCCATATAATATAATGCAAACGCATAAAAGTTAGCTCAGGAAGCACTTTTTATACAAATGTCAAAGAAGATAACATGGTTTCAAGCTCCTGTGAGTCTCGAACAAGTAATATGAGTGATGATTGGGGGTGCTTGTTTAACATTTATATGAAAAGTAAATGTAAAATGCATCAATAATATATTTACGAGCAAGAAAATTTTAAAGTACCTTGAATAGTGTACTCGTAGATTCTTCCTTCTGAATTTTCATCTCTAGATTCACTAGAAGTTCCTGTATTTGGAGTCTTAGTACTAGTAGCATGAACATGTTGTTTCTCCTTTGTAGTACCTCCCTCATTAGTAGTCATTCGCAACTTCTTTTTCTTTCGTTTAGCCATGCCCCTTAGAACAAATGAGATACTAAGGTAGGAAGTTAAATAAAAGCATCACTCAGATCAATACATAAAAAAATACAGAAACCACACAAATCAATACATAAAAAAACAAATGACACTAGTTAACTAGAAAACATAAAATGTGAGACAATGTTATCATATAATCAAAGGCAAAACTAAGATTGTTCATCATGTGAAACTACAATTCCTTCCACATCTTTTCTAACCCAACTGTAATTTCCCTCTTCATTGACAAGCAAATTATTTAAAAAAGTAATATGATATGGTTCATTTTCTGCATCTTCACTCATTTCTTCATCACCTAAGTCATATGCATCCTTTGGCTTCATCTTTAAAACCACAGACCAGTCTGGATGAGTAAGGTCTTGTATGTAGAAGACTTGCTCGGCTTGTGATGCAAAGATGTATGGCTCGTTCTATAATACTCCCAATACGGCAATGACCAAAAAATATTCTTTTTCTTCCAGGTTTTTGAGCCATTAAATTCAGCAAGTTCCTCCAGTTCATGTAACTCATCAATCCCTGATCGTGCCAGTGGTGCCTCTCTTAATTCTTCTTCTCCATTAAAAGACTCCATGTTAAAACGAAATTCACGGTTTGACTCTAAGAAACGACGGTGGCCCATAAAATAATACTTGTGTCCATTTTTAAGCCATTTGGAGTCGGTTTCAGAATTACAACAAGGACACGCCTTTTCTCCTTGTACACTCCAACCAGAAAGCATTCCGTAACCTATAAAGTCACTAATAGTCCACAAGAGACCAGCCCGCATATTGAAACTTTCATCTTTTGAAACATCATAAGTTGCACTTCCAACATTCCAAAGTTCAAGTAACTCTTCAACAAGGGGCTGTAAATATACATCAATTTTATTACCCGGGCTAGTTGGTCCAGGAATAAGTGTAGAAAGAATAAGAGATGATTTTTTCAAGCACATCCATGGTGGTAGATTGTATGGAACCAAAACAACAGGCCAACAACTATATGTAGAGCTTAACATCCCAAATGGATTAAAACCATCACTAGCAAGTCCAAGCCTCACATTACGGCTCTCTGCACAAAAATCAGGGTACCTAGAATCGAAACTTTTCCAGGCTTCAGAATCTGCCGGATGCCTTAATATGTCATCCTTAAGACGTTCCTCATCATGCCATCTCATTAAGGATGCAATTTTCTTTGACATGAACAATCTCTTAAGCCTAGGTTTTAATGGAAAATAACGTAAAACTTTTATAGGGATTCCTTTTTTCTTCTTCCCTCCTACTGAAGTTGTATTCTCACTCATGCATTTCCACCTTGAAGCACCACAAACTGAGCATGTATCATCATTAGCCTTATCTTTCCAAAACAGTTGACAGTGATTTGGACATGAATGGATTTTAACATAGCCAAGACCTAATTTATCAATAACCTTTTTGGCCTCTGCGAATGACTTTGGTAAATTTGCAGTTTTTGGGATTGCAAGTTGTAAATGTCCTAATAGTTCATTAAATGACTTATTAGTCCATTTATTAGTACTCTTTGTGTGGAATAAAAGTACCAAAAATGAGAGTTGAGTCAATTCGCATCCTGGCCATAACTCCTTATCTGCCTCTTCAAGCAAACTATAAAATGTCTCAGCTTCCTTATTTGGACCTCGGGTGTGTTTATTTAAATAAATTATCTTTCTCCTTATTTGAATGATTTTATACAATTTTGGTAAGTTTTTCTCTGTAATGTCAACCACAATGTCAATATCTAGACGGTCTTATTGACATTGTGGAGAAAAACTTATCAAATTAAAGTTCTATAAAACCATTCAATTAAGGAGAGAGATAATTTATTTTTTAATATTTATGTGGCTATATCTCATGCCACATGTACACCGTGCACATTGTAGCATTGGAAATGCTCTTAATTTTTTTCCAAGTTAGTCACTTGAAGTCAAACGTACAAATTGTGTTGCATCAATTTGACTTAATGTTACTATGCTAGACATTTCTTAAATGGGAATTAGTACTAAGTACTAACACGATTTGCATAATGTTTTTTAGAAGAAAAAGTGTGATACTTCTGGGACGAACTCAATAAAGCAACTACATGATTAAGTAATTCCTACCTCCGTCCCCCTAAGTTTGGGAAAAAGGGTGTGGTGTGGTTTTTAAGAAAAAGTAGAATTGTGTGGTTGATATTGAATTGATAAAGTGTGAATAAAGTAAGAATGAATTCTAACCACTCAAACATTACCAAATATGGTATGAGACAAACTTAATGGGATGGACGAAAATGGTAAAACGGGACAAAGTTAGGGGAACGGAGGTAGTATTGTATTACGCTAAGGGCTTGTTTGGAGACACCGAAATTGGCTGAATTGTTGGGTTCTGCGGAAATTGGCTGAATTGTTTGGTTCTGGTGAAGTTGATGAAGTTCTGAATGAATTGACTGAATTTGCTGAATCTGCTGAATTATCAAAAAATTATATTTACTACTCCCTCCGTTTCAGTTTGTTTGACACACTTTCCTTTTTTGGATGTTTCAAAATGAATGTCACACTTCCTTATTTCCTTATTTGGCAAACAAATCTTTACCAAAACAGTGCTAAATAGTGCCAAACAGTGTTCAAACAATGCCAAACAGTGTTCAAACAGTGCCAAATAGTGTTTCAACAGTGCCAAACAGTGTCAAAACAGTAAAATTTACCACATTCAGTAAATTTTTCTCTTAAATGTTGACAAGTCCAACTGTGTCAAAGAAACTGAAAAGGAGGGAGTATGTATTTTAGTAGTAAAAATGATGACAGTCAATTCAGGAAGAAAAGTAACGTCAACCTTACATATTTCAATTAGTACACAATTCAATGCACGAAAAAACTTGATGATAAACCGGAACACAGGGTCATCAAACCGGCTCTAAGATACTACGTACTTGTTGTTTTAGCAATGAGCATTTTGGTTTGGCTTTGGGGTCAGGGATGGCGTGCATTTAACATCAGAAGGAAGTAAGATTCTGGTGAAAGAAATGATAAAGGTGCTAAAGGAGGCTGATTGGGAACCAAGCTTACACTGTAAGTCATTACCCTATGAATGTCATGAACTTTCTCCAAACATTAGTGACTTGTTTCTTCCCTGGTAAACACAGTGGAACTAGATGATCGAGATATCTCATTAACATTTTGGCCATTGAAGAAGTAGCACGCTAGCAGCATTGCTCCTTCCCCAGCATCATCATATACTTTTGTTCATGGAAGCCTTCTAGTTTTGATCACTAAAAAGATAATGAATAAATAAAAATTTCAGCTACCATAATGATATACTATATGATTTGTTGATCGAAAATTAAATTTTATGATCTAGTCTAATATGTTTTGAATTGGCATCTTGCCTAGTCTTGTCATCTTTGGCATGATAGATATAATATTATGTGTACTTAACTTGTTTTAAATTGTTGGGGGTTTGGTGTAGTCTAATCTGCCATGATTTAATATTATTTTAATATGATAAAATGTGTTCGAGTATTGTCTGATCCTGTTATGTATGACATGATTTGGTTCTAGAATAATGAAGTATCTTTCTGAAGGTTTTTGTTGTTTATTTGTTGATGCCATTTTTCATCTTCGATTATGCTTTATAGTTGGGTTGCACTCAGTTTTTAAGTTTAATATGTAAGGCGACAATAGAAGACTTACATATTAAAAAATGATTCGACAAAAACCACTGTACAAAACTTGAACTTACAAATTGATCAAAGGCAAAATTAGATTAAAGTTTATGCTTTAAAGACACTGACTAAAGTCAATAAAAATGTGAAAATTGATAGCAAAAAAAACAAACCAAACAATGGTGGAACTGAAACCATCGTAAGTCACTCACTTCAATTTTAAGTTTTGCATATTTTCACAATTGAACTGATCACATTGAAATCGAAAAAGAAAACCTAAGAACCCATACTAACAAGCATTTCATATTTTTTTGATGGCTGTAGCATTTCATAAGTTTTATAAATTTGTTTAAAAATATAAAAGCACTATAAGAAAACATCAAAATTTAATGTTGCAATACATGTTTTGACATTCCATGTTTGGGGGCAGTAATATTTGTTTCATCCTGATGAACGTTATATATGAAACCATGACAAAGCATGCATGAAGTGGTTCTAAATATAATGATCAAATACAAACACCCCATGATTTACAAATTAAATTACAAACTTATCTTAATCATTCGATGAGTTTATCTAAAAGCTATGGATGCATAGTGACATTTTAATATGCGACACTTGTATTTTAATATGCGTTTGTTTATTTTACTTCAGAATAATATGCAACATTTTGAAGTTAATTATCAATACAAATACCGTAAATATGTATCGTACAAATATATTACACAATAATTTGTACCTATTCTGCCCCTACATACATACATACATACATACATACATACATACATACATACATACATACATACATACATACATACATACATACATACATACATACATACATACATACATACATACATACATGTGTGTGTGCATATGTGTGTATATAATACTTTTCTCATCAACCCAGACTAAGTGAAACACCGTTCGTCCGACTCCATCTGAGATGTCTTCGGGTGGAATTTTTTGATTATATTTATGAAGTATATTTTACAACCATGAAATTTAGCCAATAACTCAATTGAAAAGTCAGCCAGATAAATTATTGAAAAACAATACACCAAAAAATATACTATGTATAAAAAATACATTATTTATAAATAATTTATTAAACTGACTTATTGATTGAATTCTTAGCTAAAATTTGTGGACATAATCTAAAGTTCATGAAAAACATGCTCACAAAGATTCCCCAAAAATTCCATACTGAAGCACCTCAAATAGATAAGGTCAAACGACGGTTCCAGTAAGTCCGGCCGGAACTGCCGCATGGAGTCCGCCATTTGAAGTGATTTTCGGTAAAAAAAATTGATGAGATTTTTGTGAGAATGTTGTTCATCAAATATTGGAATATAAATTAGGTGCACAAATTTTCAGTTTAAAATCCTTTAATAAGTAATAAAATACTTCGTAGATTATTAAAAAATTATTAATTCTCCACGGATGAACAATCTTTCTGCGGTTGAGTGAACTCATTGTCATTGCACTCTGAAGAAAAAGGCTGAGCACTTCGCAGAGATGGTTGGACCGACCCGTCCGAAGTTCGTTCTATTCGGATCATCTATAGTACAGTTCAGCTACAGCCAGGAAGGTTGGGGCGCTATCCTTGCTGATATCTACGCACGCAAGGTACCTTCGATTGTTCAATTCCTGGGTTTAGTTTTTTTCTTCACTTCTTCAATGGTTATTGAACATATCAACCGACAGCTCTTATGCCGTTTGGCAAAAGGCTTCCCGGCATTCCTGAGGTCCTTTAGCTCATCAGTGTAATTAATTGACGGATTGAACAATGGGATTTTTCAATCATAGTTAAATGATCCTCACCACTTCCATTGCAAGGTTTTATATAGTAAAGTATAAATCTTTATATCTTCCGGTGTACCAAAGTTAATGGTTCTGTTTGGTAAAGAATAAAGATGAATTAATCAGTTAATCTGATTTTATGTTGCTTAAACTAGGGCCTCTCTCACTGTTTACTTGTTTAGTAAGTCACTTTTGATTGAATGTAAAAGGCAGACATAGTGCTTCGTGGATATGGCGGTTGGAACTCACGATGTGCTCTTGAAGTTTTGGAGAAAGTATTTCCAAAGGTATTTTCAGCCAGGTTTCAAGCTGCAAGTTACTCGCAAATTTATGTTATGGCAAATTTATTTAATAGAAGGAAATATATGAATCCATTCTTACACATGGCAGTGCTGTTTAGGATGCAGACGAGCAACCTTCTCTGGTGATAGTTTATTTTGGTGGCAATGATTCAATGTCACCCGTTGTATATGGAGTCAATGCTCATGTTCCTCTTTCTGAATATGTTGAAAATATGAGGAAGATTGCTATTCATCTCAAAGTAAGTTTATGGGACTCCAAAGTCGTTAAGACCATGTTTCTACTTGTTGAGGAGAATAACTATTTTGCTTGTTTAACCTCACATTGGCATATAATAAATGTAGTTTTTGAGCAGCATAAATTTCAAAAGACTCTATTATGGCATGTCTCATGCTAGAGCCGCACGAAAAGAGCCTAGAGTTTTATTTTAGCTCTTTATTAGTAGTGGTAAAAGTATCCTATAAATATTGGTATTCTATTTCAATTGCTTCTTGTAGTAGCAGCATTGTAATAAATTTAGAGGTGATCTATTCATTTATATAACTATCGTCATTTTTTAGGCGTAGTAATTAATAATTCTTCATGCACATTTGGTGGAATGAGGCGTAGAGGTAGGGGGCAGTTGGGCCCCGTCCCACCCCAAATTTGAAAAAAATACTTTAATTACTAGTGTAGAAAGTTCCGTGTAAAAATTATTCATTTTTTTGTACCAGCCCAGTCAAGCCCTGGCTATTCACCCTTGGGTGAAACTCAAGAACACTTTCTTTCATAGGGCGGGAAGCTGAGTTATTTTTGCAATTGCTGATTCTTTTCTAACTCCTCTTATCTCCCAACCGTGTGTGGCTTATCCTAACTCTCGGTTGTATATTATTATTATTATTATTATTATTATATAATCTCTCAGAGCCTGTCAGAGACAACACGGATAATCTTTCTCACCTGTCCTCCCATCAACGAGGCACAAATTCTTGAAGTATTTGGGTAATTTGATTTTGATTTAAAATCACATTCAGTTTCATGAACATTTGTTAGAAAATACATTTTTCCGAGTAGTATTTGCTTCCTTATTTCTTCTTGCTGAGCCAGTACCTCAAGCCGATCAAACAAATTGTGCCAAAAGTATTCAGATGCGTGTGTCGAGTTGTGCAAACAGCTGGATGTAAAGGTAATAGATTTATGGAGAGCACTTCAGCAACGGGATGATTGGCTGACTGCTTGTTTTACGTGAGTACTTCTTTGTTTTAAGCTAAGTAAATGCGAAGTATGTATTATGTTGCTTGAGTTTGAGTTTGAGTTTGGGGTCTTATGAGCATTCGGGATATGAATAAAGACACAACTCATTAACTGCAGCTCTACCTTTGTTTTTGCACAATGCGACCATAAAGAGTGTAGAAGTCTACTTATTTTTTTTCTCCTTAACTTTGTTAAATAATGATTTTACACCGAAAACGAATATTGTAGTTCCTGGGAATATCTTTAGGGAGGACCTAGGATGGAAGGGTATATATAGTAATAATAATGCTAATAGACTAAGAAGTTTACTTTTTTCCGGGTTTGGTGGTCAGGGATGGAATCCATTTAACGCCGGAGGGAAGCAAGATTGTGGTGAAAGAAATAATGAAGGTGCTGAAGGAGGCTGATTGGGAACCAAGTCTGCACTGGGAGTCATTGCCCACTGAGTTTTATGAACTCACTCCAACCCTCTTTTTGGGTCCGAATCGGACACCTGTTAACGCCGCTGATGTGGTTCTTCATTGGCAAACGAAGTGGGATTAGATGAGATGTCTCTTTCACATCTTTTGTCACTAGAGCTGCATTTAATAAAAAAAAAAAATAGAATTGCCAATTACTGTATACCCTAAAAATTAAAGAGTGATTTAGAATTGTTTTCATTGCTTTTCACTATTAAATTGTGATGTCATTGTTTCATCAATGGTTATGCTTACTCTTTTGGATGAATGGCTGAACTCAGGCCAGTTCTGGTTATGGATGGACCCGGGCCGGTTCGGGCCCGGTTCGGGCCTAGGCCCGGCCGGGCCTCGGGTCTGTTTTGTTGGGCCCGAGCCCGAACCGGTGGCCACCGGTTCCGGGTCCGGTTCCGGGCCGGACCGGGCCGGGCCGGGCGGGCCACCCGGTTTAATTTTTTTTTTTTTTTCCTTTCTCCCCCCACCCCCCCCACCCCCCACCCCCCCAAACCCCCCCAAACCGGCCTAAACAGATAGCCTAAGCCCAACAGCCTAAAACAAATGAAAAAAATTAAAAAATATATATATTTGGCCCGGACCCGGGCCCGAACCGGCCGGGCCGGGCCGTCAAAACCTTGAACCGAGCCCGGAACCGCCCCACCCCCGGGCCTCCGGCCCGAACCGGACCCGGACCCGGATAACCGGGCCGGGCCGGGCCCGCACAGTAGCGGGTCGGGCCGGTCCCGGGCCGGGCGGCCCGAACCGAGGCCATGCCTAGTTCTGGTTCAGGGAGGAAAGGAACCTTAACTAGCTAGGTCAATTATGATTCTTTAGCATCTCTTTTAAAAACAAAACTAGGATTGATTTGGACTGGTTCTAGTTTGAAATAGAAAATTCAGCACCGGTTCGGTTCTTCTACCCTCCTAGTTGTGGCCTGGTCCAATATAAAACTGGAAATGGGTTTAGCTCACTTGGATGGGATCAGCTCTTTTATTTATTTACGCATTCCAAACTCATACCACAAATAGGAACCGGAGTAGGTGATTAGTGATTACCTATTCCAGATATCCAGCCATGAACCATTGTACATTTGTATCGTAAAAACTAAAAGACAGCCAGGCTCTACGATGTTCGTAATGGTTACAATTGTAAAATGAACTAATGAAGTACATAATTTTTCATTAAAAAATATAAATGATTTGTTTGAGAACATGTAAAGCGGGTCACATAAAGTGCCAAGGTCGGGTTATGAATTGCCAGATCAAGTGTAAAGCCAGTTAAACATAGTGCTGGACTCGGGCCGGTTCGGGCCCGGTTCGGGCCTGGGCCCGGCCGGGCCTCGGGCCAGGAAAGGGAGGCCCGAGCCCGAACCGCCGGTGGCCGGTTCCGGTCCCGGTTCCGGGCCAAACCGGGCCGGGCCGAACCGGCCCAATTAATTTTTTTTTTGTTCTCCTATTTAATCCCCTACCCCTCCCCCTCAACCCCAAACCATCCCAAACCACCTCAAATGGCCCAAAATACCTAATCCAACCTAAAACTTAAAAAAATTTCAAAAAAAAAAAAAAAATTAAAATCCGGCCCGGACCGGGCCCGAACCGGCCGGGCCAGTTCACTAAAACCTGGGCCCGGGCCCGAACCGCCCAGCAGCCGGGCCGGGCCGAACCGAACCGGCGGACCCACCGGGCCCCGGGCCGGGCCGGGCCAAACAGTAACCGGGCCGGGCCGGTTCCGGGCCGGGCCGCCCGGCCCGAGTCCAGCACTAGTTAAACATGGTTACGATTTCGATTACAATTCTATGGCCAATTCTAGTTTCTCTGATTTCGAGTTAAGACCGGCTTCTGATTCCAGCTCTGAATAACAAAAAGTTCACGGGCAAACAACGATGCGGTCCACTTCTGAAATTGGGTCCACCTTTGTATTATTGTATACTTTGACCGATCACAAGTATTCAATATATCACTTCGCCCGCATATATCATCTAGAAATGTTGATGAATGATGAATATTGAAGCACAAGTGGTAAAAAAATGTATCTCAATAATTTTAGTCAATTAATTAACATATTGAAACACAAAAGGAATCATATTTAATACAATAATCAAGAAACCTGGAAGAATTCCCTCTTTTCCATAAACTATATGTAAGGTACACACGAGGCAGCTCCTAGACAAATGACTCTCCCCAGTTCCCAACTGATAATTACTACAAGGTCAAGTCAATTTACAGCATGCAAACAAAATATACATTGTAAGGAGGTAAATAATGTCGGAAGCAACAGCGAAGGTGGCAGAGGTAGTACAACTCCATGGAAGAACGAAGTTTAGACAAAAGCCGGGAATCATATCATTCTGATTGAGGTAAATCCGAAGTGTTAGATGAGGCATTTGGCTTTAGGACAACCAAATCTTTAACTGGAGAGTTGAAACCTGCCACTGGGTTTTTTCCGTCTCCATCCCTGGAAATGTAGCAATATATGATTAGACTTGGAGCCTGTTTGGTAAGAGCTATTTCCGATAAGCAAAAGAGCAGTTGGCAAAATTGGCTTCAGCCAAATATGCTATTCAGAGACTACTTATTCTGATGATAAACAGAATAAACCAATTAATGTCACCAAATGCCCTTAGGTTCTACAAATAAATACTAGTACTAATTAAGTTGGAGGGGATGGGGGTAAGGGCTTACAAAACCAAGGTAATACACAAATGTCAGTCCAGCAAGAGCAACAAATCCAATTTGAAACACATTATACCTGCAAATGGAGCAGTGTGTATTCATTATCACCAAACAGTTCTAACCCATAATTTACATAAACGGAGATGGTATTGACTGACACTAACTTGTATAAGTATTTAATCCCGCGAAGAGATTGCAAGGTGTGGCCAAATATTTCTTGAGCTGCAGTTGCTTGAGCATAATATGCAAAGGCAGTCGCACAGAACTGAATAACACTGCAAGCACATATATCAGGATAAAGGAATAATTCCAATTTCCCCACAGTCCAGAAAGAAGATAATTTTGAAGGGTAACATAGTCAACCTGATAGAGCAGAGAAGAATAAGGCCCACATTAAAAAGAAAAGAGTTCATCAGTGTAGCTCCCCACCTGAAAGTATAGTTCAAGGGGAGACCATTATATGCAGCTTTGGGATCAGCACATTGATCAGGAAAACAAGATGCAATGGGGAAGGGGTGGAAGGAGGAAATAGAAGAAAAATATCCAAGATATCAAGTTTATTACTTCATTGGATGAATTGAGATAAAAACTAATTTCATCCCAAGCATCATTGCCCCAGCCATCACTGCAAGAAGAAGGTAGAAGCAGAAAAATGCAAATGCTGCTGTGCCCAGAAGACCTAGAAAATAATAGAGAATTTGTTATAAAAATTCAAGATTACCCCATATGTAAGACAATAAAAGATATATATACATATGTAGCTATAATCATATACCCCAAACATCATCTAACTTGATGAAAACCCAATTCAGGAATGGTGAAAGTGGCGGATCAATCAATAAATATATCACAATGTGTGCAACCCAAGCCACTGAAACAATCAATCTGTCAAAAATTGAAGGCAAAATGTGCATCAAAATGTTATCCTGAAATTGATGTGTAAAGGTTACATCTAATAAATTCCAACTCGAGGGCCGTGCAGAAACCCCAAAGAATCTATGAAGATGCGTGGAACTGCATTTTTTCCTTGGGTGGGGAGTACATGTACAACAACATCCAAGCCTTACTACCAAAAGATTTTGGGGTCGACTAACATGAACCGATCCGTGAAAGCATAGAAAGCATACTCAGTTACACCACAATGCTTTATTAAAGATTAAGGAAACTCAATCTTAAAATCTTATAGACACCAATTGTGGTTAGGGCATTTAAGGTATGAAAAAAATGTTGGTGTAAAACTAAAGCTACATTTAGTTGTACAATTTGTTATACTCATTGTACCATCCATTATCATTTGCTTACCTCCGTTAACATGTAACGCTTATCATTAACGGAAGTTTAATATATATCGTAATTGGAAATGATGTGCTTTTGGACCTTTAGTATTCCAATGCCATTGAATCTCTCTTCAAAAAAAAGTATTCCAATTCATTTGAATTAAAATCTCCATTAGTAAAATGGTACGGAGTATGTCCTAAAATCATTATTGTTTATTAAGTATACATATAATCCTCGTAGTATTAAGGTGTTATCACAAAAATTTGACAATTGAGTATGATTGAATAATCTTAACTAAATATTATGCTAGAATATTCTATCTACTACTTAATTGAGTGTAGATATTTCTATTTGTTGTTAAATAGTTCTATCAAAGAATTTTAAATCTATTATTATGAACCTTCTCTTTAAAATGAACTGAATTAATAAACTATTCAAATAATCTTTGATCAAGTGGATTTTTTTATGGGAAAAGATCAAATAATCTCTTCTATTGTTCCCAATCCGTCACTTGAACTTATGTACAAAAAATATCATATAAGTACGTCTACTATACAAAATTGATCAATTTTACAATTTCATCAATTTTTGACCTGTAATAGCATGTTTTTTATATTTAAAAATTCTAAAAAATTGTTAAATTTGAAGAAATATACACAAAAATTGTGAAATTTTTTAGAATAACAAATTCAATATTTTTTATTTTAGAAAAAAATTGTATATTTTACATCTATTGAAAAGGTTTCTAAATTTTATTTTTATATTTTTTATATTTTTTATTTTTTATTTTGTTTTAATTTTTTTAAACATTTAATCTATTTTTACATTTATACTATTTTTGTATTATTATTAGATTATTTATTCAAATTTATATGAATTTTTGTAAGATTTATCAATATTCCTAATTGACTTAATTTCAAAAATAACCTGCTATAGCAGGTCAAATCAGTTGGTTGATTGTATTTTAAGAGTTGACATACTTATATGATACCTTTTTTAGTATAATGGCTTAAGTGACGGATTGAAAATAGTAGAAGAACTTATTTGACCTTTTGTGTTTTTAATGATAATTTGTGAGCATGTTTTGATCAAGTTTAAACTATGTTCACAAAATTCGATTTAAAATTGAATCAGAAAGTCGGTTAAATCAGTTATTGAAAGGCGAATAAAAAACGTAGTGTTTTTCAATAATTTATTTAACTGACTTCTAGATTGTATTTTAAATTGAAATTTTATGGACATTATCTAAACTTTATAGAGAACATACTCATAAATTTCCAGTTAAAAATCCATCAAGATGCACCTCAAAAAAATCCACCCATAA